CCTTAACTGAAGCAAATGTTTATTCCTATTTTCTCTTTTGGTGTAATTTTGAGTCCTAAAAAATGTAGATGTTGAAGGTTATATTTTTTAAATTGTAATTTTAGATTTATTGGGATGTATGATAAAATAATGAAATGAATGAGAACCACAATATTGCCTGAATAAGGTCAAACCTAACCATGCCTGGTCAATGAAATTTTGATTCAGAAACTGCTGTAATTCAGTTCTGTACTACGATCCTGTACGGTTGGCGCGGTGGTTTTGCCATCGGCTGTCGAGCAACATGTCGCGAGATCGATTCCTGCATGGAACAATTTTTTGTGTGATCTACAGATTGTTGTTCTGGGATTAGGTGTCATGTGTATATGAAATTGTATGCTTGTCAACGCATCTGCGACAGAGGAGGAAAAACTTAGTGTGGGCAATATGTTTTTTTTTATAAAAAGAAAAAACATCCAAATATACTTCCTTAGCTTCTTCAGTTTCATTAATGAAAGTACCCTGCACTTAATAATTTCGACAAATCATTTGCGAATGAGGTCTTTAAACATTCGTAGGCCTATAACATTATAAGTAGCAATGTACAATACATATACTTACTACAGAATGTTATCTAAACACAAAAAACAATCCGTCAGGGCAAAAATGTTTGACAAAACGCTTACTCGGCTTTTTGCGTACACATTGTATGTGACACGTCATTTGTATCGAGTGCCACAACTCTACTAGTGACACAAACTATATCTAGTCAGTAAAAAACTGACTGACTTGTTCCTATACTTTTCCCTGCTTATATTCCGTAAATAAAAAAAATCAAAATAATACATTATAATTATAAATGTTGATTGCCTCATTGGCTGAGTGGTAGCAAGTGCGACTGCCAGGCAAGGGGTCTCGGATTTGATTCCCGGGATGGCCAAAGTATTACCGGGTTTTTAAAAATTCTCAGTAGTAGCACGGAGTTTGGAATTGTGTCCGGTATATGGCAATAGGCTCACCCCCTTACATGGGACTCATAACATAAATAGGGAAAATTAGTGGTTACATTGTACAGTGGCATTAAGTGCCGTAATGTGCTCCTCTGCCTACCCTTTCGGGAATAAAGGCATGATTTTATGTTATGTATGTGTGTTACAAAGAGTGTTTCCTTGCGGGAATCGAAACGCTACACATTGCGCGGTAGCCATTTGCCCATCCACCGCGCCAATCGTGCAGTCAAATATTTCAATTAGTGAAGAAAATCTAACACTGACATCACACGAAGTGAATTCAAGTCTCATAACATACTATATATTATCAAGTTTTCTGCTCAACATTCTCCTGTTTAGAACTTGGAACTTTGTAGGTATAAACTGAACCACCAAAATAATATGTAGTACGGCATTTTTGTAACGCTATATTTTGAATTCAAATTTGCATAAAAGCATATTTAGTTTCACAATACAAATCACCCAAGTCAAATATTCCACGGATACTGAGCATTCAATAACTTGAAAAACTCAAAAACTCGTAGCAAAAACAATATAACGTTTGGTCGTTTCGCTAACTGAATTCAATTCAACGCTACGAACTGCTACACAATCGCTACGTTTTTTCGTAGCAAGTCGTAGCGCAATGAATGCTCGAATTTCGTAGTCTGAGTAAATCCGCAAAGCTTTATTCAATAAAAGACCCATGCATTAATAACCTGGGAAATGTATCATTAATAACAATTAATTTTAATTGGCTGAAATTATTATTATGATTAATTATTATGTGAAGCAGGCATCAATAACAATAAACTGTCATTATTACGTCATAATTTGCTTGTTGTCAACTTACGCGAGCGTACGAAATTAATACTGGGTTTAAAGATGGCGGTTCTCTTTTACTCTGCAATAACACATTTCAATACGCTTATTTGAAAGCGTAACAAAACGTTCTTACATAAAAACCTAATCACAAAAAGGTTCGATATTTTTAGATTTGATTCTAAATTTGAAACATAAAATAAGACAGGACATCATAAAGTAATCAAACAGCTATCGACCTAATATATTCCAGAGGAGTTTATTAAACTAATTTGAAAGTCGGTAAGCAAATAACAATTTAGAAACTTCGAGAAAGTCAAGAAGCATCTGCTTTAACAGAATTCTATCGAGTAACGAGACTTAAATTGACATTTTGACTATTAAACATGTATAATTAAGGCTAAAATAGTGCTCCCGTTCAGAATTGGCCCTAAGGGCGGTCTCACCGGTTTAATGAGTCAATATCCGTACTCGAAACTTTACCACATTAACTATATTGTGAAAGTTTATAGAACCTAAGGCTGCGATATCGACAGGGTATCGACAGTAAAATAATTTATGTACCGTTTGTTAGTGTGTATAGTTAATTAATGATGTGTGTGTGTTTTGGTTTATAGTCAAGTATAGGTCGTTGTGATCTGATTAGATTTAAAAATGAACTGTTCAAATTTAATCATTTATATTAGACTGCTTCGTTCATATTAAACTGAGAGGTGGTATTACTGGGCCCAGTGAGGTGCTACACTCGCATTTTATTACATGGGATTCATAACATAATTAGCGAAAAGTAGAGAAAGAATAGTTCATAAGTTATTTAACGTAAATCTATAGTACAACTAGCTGTTGCTCGCGACTTAGTCCACGTAGAATATGATTCCATCCCATGAGAGCATTTAATCAGGATAAAAATATCCAGGGTAAAAGTATCCTATCACCTAAGTCAGCCCATACCCTGCCTGTATACCAAATTACAATAATCCGTCTGAAGAAGCCTCTTATAGCATGTTAACATTCCATATAAAACCAAAAAATAGTGGTAATTAATACAACATTGCGAACGCCCAAACATTTATGTTAAAACCACTTTCGTAGTATCAGCGTGATTGACGGATAAACATACAAACAAAGAATTTTTCACATTTATAATATTAGTGTGATACCATATGAGATTAGAACTTTATCAACATTCTAAGCAATATACATTTCTTTAACCATCATTTTTATCACTTCTTTATTTCTAGGATGGGTGACAGTTTTGTGCATATTTTTCTTAACTTTCCATCCGTATAACATCAAAATGAACTCTGACCTACTTTTTGTAAGTTGCGCAAGTCCGTTCAATATTGTTATCGTAATAGTTCGTTCGCAATTCAAGGTGTTGCAAGCATTCGTTTGAGTCAAAGTTAGCAATTTCTTGTTTACCCCACTTTTTCCGTCGTTCTGTATTTTAGTCGGTCAGTCAATTTAATAAGTGAAATACTTTTCCATTTCGTTTCGTATTTATGTTTATTCTGTCTTCTCTTTATTATCTTTATAGTCTATCCATTTGATATGAAAGATTCATTATCTATACGACTAACTGGTGCATACATTTTCAGAGGTTTATGCTCTTCACGATGCTTTGAAGGCACCTATGGGTTTTCAGAATTACTAATAATTATTCGGAACTACGAACACTCATTATTATGACTTACGAGATGACAGTGACTTCCATTGATACTGAGTTGAATGTCACCACACTCAGCAAAGACTTTATTCTCCATTCCAAGAACCCCACGTTCTAAATCCGGTCAGATTTTACCCGAAGTGATTTTATTGAGTCTGAATCCCACTTTCTCTAATCAGTTTTTCTAGAAATCGTCTCTTAAAGTTTTTCGACGCTCAAAACGTCTAAGGTATTTTCAAAGGCACAATGAATTAAACAGACAATACATTATAAAATAAATGAAAACTAAATTCTCAACCCAATTTTAATAACAATAATAATCTGAAAGCAATTCGAACTAAACCTAAAACGGTATATTTCCAGCATTACTCCATTCCCCGAAATATCCATTTTCATTAAACTATCTGTAATGTTTTTGATGCGGTCCTAAAAGCTTCACCAAGTTCTTGAACCAGTTTTATTGCTTCGCGTAACGTTGGAGGAACACGCGAGAACTATTCAAAGGGATTTCGGTATTACGTCTCTTTGATACTTAGCTAGCTTAGAACTTATGACCGTGATTGCATATACTGTTACAGGCTTGCTATGATTGGCTAGTAATAAATTCTGTAGTAAAGTACTAAGTTGTGTGCGTAGAGTTGATGGAGTTGAAAGAATGAGTGTGTTTGTAGTATTTCTTGGAGTTGTTTAGAGAATGGATTAGTTTCTTTGTGTTTTTTAAGTTACGGAAAGAAATACTTTTTTTTTTTTATTTTGGCTACAAACAAATTGGTCGAATGTAAACAAATTAATTCTTACATACATATTTATCGATAAAAGAAAATTTGTGAAATTCCACTGAAAAACACAATTCGAATTATAAAAGATCTAAACAAACTGTTCTTAGTAAACAACAAACAAATAATGCAATTGAAAATCACATTTTAATACAAAATAGACACTAATCTCACGAAGTTAAAAGCTAAATTCCGTAAATTACTTTAGCTTTCCCTCAATGTCTTGATTTCGAGAGTAACAAGACTTGACGGAATATCAAATTCCGTGGCTCATATAAAATGTACGGGGCAAAACACACGTAGAAATAATTAATCGAGTGCCAGTCTTAGGGGGCATAAGCCACTCGATGTGTCTACAGAGGGTAGATAAATTGGGTAACACGCCATCTAGCGGACGTCTGTGAACGTTGAACTCGATTCTTGATGTTTCTGTTGTTTTGAATTAGTTATTCAGAAAAGAATAAGAAGGTTTTATTAGTATGTAACTTTTTGTATACTTTACTTTTAAATTGTTTTTTTTAACTGAATGAAGTGTTTTTGGATGACGAATACTACTTTAAAGACTTTTCCCCTTGTATTATCCTCATAATCAGTCTATTCAAAATTACGATGTTATTATAAAGTAACGAGTAGTATTACTATTGTCACATTATAATAACACTAACAAAAAACATCTTTGTTTCAGATCCCGGCACCGCCGACCGCAGTTGAACGAATTGATAGTTTAATAGCAAATATTACTAGCAATAGTCCGAATGTAATTTATTAATGTTAGTGTTATTATTAGCTAGAAAATATAACAAAATGTATAGTGAAGTGTGCATACAAAGGACACTGATCGCGTTCTTCCTACTAGCCGTGACGAATGCGCCGTCGGCGACGCAAAACACAGTTATTTCAGGTAAAATTATATAGTAGCCTTCTACCAATTGTTGTAATTACTTTATTGTTGTGTTCAAGTTGTTTATTTTACTTTGTATGTGTATGTAGACTGATTGCTTTGCTTTTAGTTCTTATTGAGTTGTGTTAAGTATTAGTTTTTCGCTATTGAATATATTGCAAACTTAATAATTATTAAGGTTGCTCTGAAATATCTCTTTCGGCTCTCTAACAATATCAACGCTACAAATATTGATATTTTTGTGTAAATCGAAGAATTTGGATATGTTTTTGACAATTCTATATGAAAAATTCTATCATAATTTATGTTAAGCTCATATAATATATTGAGATTTCTATTGAAGTTTGAGTCATTTATTGAGGAGAACTAATCAAGGATTATTCAATTTATATTAATTTATAAGGGTATTACATTGTAGTATTATTTTTATTTCATGAAACTTATCATTCAATTTCAACAAACTTCACATGCATCATGCATATTTAGCATTAATATCTAATCTAATCACGATTTCCTCAATAACATAACATAACATAACATCACGCCTTTTTTTATCCCCGAAGGGGTAGGCAGAGGTGCACATAGAAGTAACACCCACTTTTCACTATTTATGTTATGAGTCCCATGTAATAGGGGGTGAGCCTATTGCCATATACCGGGCACATTTCCAGACTCCGTGCTACTACTGAGATTTTTTAAAAACCCCAGTAATACTTTGCCCGACCCGGGAATCGAACCCGAGACCCCTTGCCCGGCAGTCGCACTTGCGACCACTCGGCCAATGAGGCAGCACGATTTCCTCAATAAAGATATATAAAACAACTAGACAGTATAAGTGAGATGGTAAACCGATATGCTCATTGAAAATGGAGGACATAGGTACGAAAATATACAAAGGGGTGTAAGTATCAAGCAGGCGAGTGAATTAGTCATACAATATTGACTTGCACTCAAATATATTGAACAAACAAGGTCGGTGATCAATACTAGGTAACATACATTCAAAATATGTTTTGTAATATACTATCCATGTATACTAAAGTAGGTGAATTGAATAGAATAGGATAGAATGTCATTTGTTTCCAAGTACATTGAGGTTTTACATTAAATATTGTTTTCACGTACAGTAAGTTAAAAATGCTTTCATCATCATCAACAGCCGGAAGACGTCCACTGCTGGACAAAGGCCTCCCCCTTAGCCCTCCACGTCGAACGACAACTCGCCACCCGCATCCACTGGCTCCCCGCAACTCTGGCGATGTCGTCGGTCCACCTAGCGGGAGGTCTGCCCACGCTTCGTCTTCCGGTCCGTGGTCTCCACTCAAGGACTTTCCTGGCCCATCTGCCGTCAGTCCTTCGAGCGACGTGGCCTGCCCATTGCCACTTCAGTCTGCAGATTTTGCGAGCTATGTCGGTAACTCTTGTTCTTTGGCGAATCTCCATATTTCGGACTTTGTCGCGCAAAGAAACCCCGAGCATAGCTCTCTCCATCGCACGCTGAGCGACTTTGAGCTTCTCCAGAAGGCCAGAGGTCAGGGACCACGTCTCGGTACCATACGTCATCACCGGCAACACACACTAAAAAATGCTTTATAAAATAAAAAATAAATAAAAACTAGTAATAACAATAATGACAAGTAAATTAAATCCTATATTATTGGTACATGACAGCATACAAAATACTTGAATGACAATAAAATTTCATATAAATATATCAGTTTTTATGATTAGGTTCGTGTGTGAATATTGTCATAATCATACTTTTATTTTTCATACTACATTTCTACTTCATACGTGTTCTAAAGTTATTTGTACGGGTTTCTAGACTCAAGAATGTTTGAGAATGTGTGCATTTATCAGTCAGTAAACAGTATATGAGATAGAGAGAATATAATAAGACAATTTTACAATATTTAGTAGTTACATGTTTCAATTTAATTTCGTGTTGATCGTGTAGCGCAAAAACTTTCGACACTACTTAATAATCTTTTTCTAATTAACTTATTCACATTTTAATAAACAGGTATACTTTTTTTATTAAAGAAACCGACTTCAACCCTCTTTTTTTGAGATCGGTTAATTAATATACTAAAAGCTTCTAATGTCTCAATATTGAAACGCTACTCAATTTTAAGTGCTTAAGTATAGTTCTACCTCTACAAATTCTTTGTAAAATGACAGAGATGGCACGATATTTGAGCACGACTTAAAATTGAGTAATGTTTCAGTATTCCGGCATTAGTGTATCAAATACTTTTCTGGAAACCACATCAAAATTGTCTTCTTTTTTTTTAAGTCGGTTCAAAATAGTGTCAAGTCTCAAAGAAAACAATTAACTATGTCACCCTGTACACATTACTTTTGTTCTTTAATCACTGCGCTAAGAAAAAGTCAAACAAAGGTTTTCTCCCTAACAAAAGAAAGCTTTGAAGATTAGAATGAATTACGTCACCCAGCGGGATCTAGACTCACAATAGATATAACAATGCCTCGTATTAACTCCGATAACCCTTATAAACGGAGTATAAGAGTGAAATAACTTTCAATTACGATCCTGGAGTAGATTTTGGAAGGTTATTTTGTTATTTGATGTCTTTATTAACCGAGTTCATTTGATATTGCGATAGTTTTGTCCAAATGTTGTGTTTCTATCGAGAATACAATTCAAAGCTTTATATTTAGAGGTAAGATGTTTGAGTCTTATGCTTCTTATCTTCATTACCATCTACAGTCCGTGACAGACAACTGATGAATTTTGGGTAAACTCTACACATGATTATGGCAAATCCAAAGCTAATGTAAATTTTACTTGCCTTTTGATTTTTACCTAACAATCATTTATAATCCCAATAAATCCAGTCCCAGTCGAACCATCGCGACCTTACCTTTGCCATCGTATATTATTAACAATTTTAGTGTGGGAAAGCTATGCTTCGGCACAAATTGGCCGGCTCGATCGGAGTGATACCACAGCCGCACAGAAAACCGACGTGAAACAACCACAGCGTTGTGTCATCATGTGAGTTAGGTTACCGGCCTATTTACCCCCAACCCTAATATCCCTAATCCTCAAAAGGCTGGTAACGCACTTGTAACGCCTCTGGTGTTTCAGGTGTCCATAGGCGGCACCGGTTGCTTACCATCAGGTGATCCATTTGTTCGTTTACCGGCTTATGCCATAAAAACATAAACTGTGTAATGCAACAGTACATGACTAGAAGACTAAATTATACTTCGATACTAAGACGATACCAAAACGACTTTGATCCTACTATAGTAACTTACTTTTGGTCCACATCACTCTTCAACCAACAAGGTAAAGCTGTACCAACAGGAAAAACCAACGTAAAGAAACTTATCTATCCTAATTACATGTTTTTGACGCGTCTCCATTAATAATGTAACTTAGCAAAGAGATTTATGAAGTAAGTTAATATCTGGAGATTTCGTCTCATTATAGTCGTAGAGAAGGACATGTCGCAACATGTTTGGAATCGTAATGAAGTTTACTCTACATATGTACATAATCATATTTTTGCTTTGAAAAGGAAATTGAAAGAAGGTCCAGTTTTTACAAGCAATATTTGTATTTGTCTGTGAAAATTTTGTATGTTAGCAATGCAGAAACGGCTAAATTAACTAAGATGGAATTTGATTCATATTTGAGGTGTGACTTCTATTCATTCCTACACTATTTTCCACTACAATTGAGGCTCCTGTAAACTATAGTCCGATCAAGCTTTCTTACTCATTTTTATAGCTGTTTGTGTAATATAAATATTAACATTTTATAGATTTTTGTTCGTTTCTGCATTAGGTATTCAAATACTAAGCTTGCATACAATGCATACATATATCTTCACTAATTCTATAACATTCCCAACCATAATTTGAGATTAAAAAATAAAGTTAAAGCTCACAGAGTACGTCATCCTCATATGAATCTTCTTATATAACATGTGTGATATTTCTGCGCTACACTTGTGTATATTATGGAAAAACGCGGGCTAGAGAAACTTTAGTCGGTCTTGTCAATCTTTTTATGCCAGTAAATGTATTCGCTGACCTATTTTTATTGCAAGTATGTGTACTCGTATACATTTCCCCTTGGCTTGTCAGCAGAAGCATTAGATAAATATTATTCGTTACTCTGATGTTCTATTTCTGTCGTATAAGCTTTATACCTTTTACTTTATATGACATCATTATGTACTAGAGATTATGGATATAAGATAGTGGATCATGCGATTAGGATTTTGATCCCTATGTCAGGGAAATGTAGTATGGGATTTTTGGTTACCTATACTATAAATATGTTGTGGTGGCCCGGAGTATTAAGAAGCCGGATTCTTCTACATAAGGGTGCGGGTTCGAAACCTACCAATGGCAAGTACTAATGTGACTTTTTCCGAGTTATTTGTACTTTCTAAGATTATCTTGACACCACTGACAAACGGTGAAGGACATCGTGACGAAACCTGGCCTTATAATTTCTAATTATAAGTTTGTAATCGCCAACCCGCATTGAGCAAGCGTGGTGATCAATGCTCAAACCTTCTCCGAGTGAGAAGAGGCTTTGATGATGATGATACTATAAATTACATAATGTTGGTTTATTGGATAATGTGATTGAGGAAACACATCTACAATTATAATGTGTTAAGAATAACGTATTTTCCCAATTGTAATTCACTCTTTGAATTAACTTCGTTCAATGATTCTGCTTATATAATTACATCATTCCTCAAACTGGAGAACGAAACTGCTGTACCTGACATTGTGACTTTTTTCTAGTTCAAAAAAATAAGTCTGAATTTTTCTCCATATCATACCAAATAAACGCATGTTCCTTAATACCAATTACTGCCAAAACAAAACTTATCCTAGCCCTTATAGGTAAACTGATACTTTTTACTTCCTCATCTAAGCGTTTTCTCATCTTAATTGCCGGTGTCCGTTCTGCTTAATAGAAAATGGTCGGACGCTCATTAGCAGGCGCG